GTTTTTACTAATACTATGACATCTTTACACTAAACTTAGTTTATGTAGAAGCAGATTCCACCCCTCCTTTTCCTGGATAATTCCATTACGTGGTCTGCTCTGTGGATTTGGAACCATGGCAGCTGTAATTGCATTGTCCAAGATAGACTCACTGAGCTTTGTGAAGCAGACATACAGAAAAAAAATCTAATCTAATCTAATAACTACCTTCCCTCTCCTTGTTACCATTCGACCACACTTATCCAGTCCGAATGACATTCCGATGTCCTGCCTGTAGATCCTAGTGGTGTGGATCAGTGAGTCGATGTCTCGTTCACTCCTGGCATACAGCTTGATGTCATCCATGTAGTGGCTGACGGTTGCTCCATTCTGTAGTTGGTATCTGTAACCACTCTTGGTGATGATCTGGCTGAGGAGGTTCAGGCCTATGCAGAACAGCAGTGGGGACAGAGCATCTCCTTGGTAGATACCGCACTTGATGTTGACTTGGCAATTGGCTTGAAGTTGGCCTCTAGGGTTGTTTTCCACATTCCCATTGAGTTCTTGATGAAGGCTCTTAGAGTCCTGTTGATGTTGTACAGCTCCAAGCATTCCAGGATCCGTGTGTGAGGCACTGAGTCATAGGCTTTCTGGTAGTCAATCCAGGCAGTGCACAGGTTGGTATGCCAGGTCTTGCAGTCTCGAGTGACTACTTTATCAACCAGTAGCTGGTGCTTTGCTCCTCTGGTGTTACTACCAATTCCTTTCTTGGCACTGCTCATGTATTGAGCCATGTGCCTGCTCATCTTAGCTGCTATGATGCCTGACAGGAGCTTCCATGTTGTGCAGAGGCAGGTTATTGGGCGGTAGTTGGATGGTACTGCTCCCTTCTGAGGGTCCTTCAGGATCAGGACCATCCGGCCTTCAGTTAACCATTCAGGGTGGGTTCCATCCATTAGTAGCTTGTTCATAGCTGGTTCATTTCTTCCGCCAGGCGCTCAAGGAGTGAAGTTAGCTTCTTTAACCAGTAGGCGTGAATCATGTCAGGGCCTGGTGCTGTCCAACTCTTATATATATATATATGTGTATAGAGAGAGAGAGAGAGAGAGAGAGAGAGAGAGAGATGTGTGTGTGGGTTTATTCTCCTGGCTTCAACTTCTCTGATGTACCTTTTCAGCCATGTGGCCAGGGCTGTGAGCCTTTGCTTGGCAGTCTCTAAGGCCTCAGGTATGGACAGTAAGTTGTATTTCTTAGGTACCCCTATCCTCATCACGCCTTTCTGCACTTCTGACAGCTGGCTAACTTCTCTCCTTGCTGCCTTGATCTTGGTCTCCAACCTCCTTCTCCATGGAGGATACTGCTCCTTATGGTCTTTGTTGAACTTATAGCCAAGCATCTCAAGGATCACGGTTGCTGTGGTGTATATGAGCTTGTTGGTCTCAGTGATGGTCATAGTAGGGATTGTTCTTAGTGCTGCATTCACATCCTCTAGTAGACTTTCAGAAGGCGCTTCACTTAGTCTTGGTAACCGGCCACGGGAGTTCCAGGTGTACATCTTGCTCATGATCTTCAATCCCAGGTCAGCTGCTCTTGAATCAAGCACTGAGAAGTGGGCTACTGGAACAAGACATTCATGGACAAGAGAGGAGAACAGGGAACTATTGGACATCAAGTGCGGTCTCTACCAAGGAGATGCTCTGTCCCCGCTGCTGTTCTGCATAGGCCTGAACCCCCTCAGCCAGATCATCACCAAGAGCAGTTATGGATACCGACTACGAAATGGAGCAACCATCAGACACTACATGGATGACATCAAGCTGTATGCCAGGAGTGAACGAGACATCGACTCACTGATCCACACCACTAGGATCTACAGGCAGGACATCGGAATGTCATTCGGACTGGATAAGTGTGGTTGAATGGTAACAAGGAGAGGGAAGGTAGTCAGAATTGAGGGGATTGTACTATCAGAAGGTAACATAGCAGAAGTTTCAGGGCAGCTACAAGTACCTTGGGATCTCGCAGGCAAATGAGAACCATGAAGAGGCCGCAAGGAAAGCAGGAACCACCAAGTACCTGCAGAGAGTAAGGTAAGTCCCGAGAAGTCAGCTGAATGGAAAGAACAAAGTCCGGGTACCAGGTACCCCGCTGGCATAATAAGCTGGCCAAAGGAGGAGATAGAGGCCACTGACATCAAGACAAGGAAACTCCTTAAAATACATTGCGGGTTTCACCCCAAGTCCAGCATCCTGAGACTGTACACTAAGTGGAAGGAAGGAGGCCAAGGATTAGTGAGCGTCAGAGCCACTATCCAGGATGAAACAACAAAGATCCATGAATACATCAGGAAGATGGCCCTGAGTGATGATGTGCTTAGTGAATACCTCAGGCAACAGAAACCAGAGGAACAAGGGAAGGAAGAGCAGGAACCCTCATGGAAGGATAAACCTCTGCACGTTATGTACCACCATCAAATAGTAGAAGTGGCTGAAATTGAGAAATCCTACCAGTGGCTGGACAAAGCTGGACTGAAAGACAGCACAGAGGCACTAATCCTGGCAGCACAGGAACAGGCTCTAAGTATAAGATCAATAGAGGCCGGGGTCTACCATACCAGACAGGATCCCAGGTGCAGGCTGTGCAAAGATGCCCCTGAGACAATCCAGCACATAACAGCCTTGTGCAAGTGGTCACATAACTGCTTTGCAACAGCTTTTTCAAGGATTTTGGAAATAAATGGGCGATTGGATATTGGTCTATAATTAGCTAGGACACCTGGGTCAAAGGTAGGCTTTTTGAGTAGCGGTTTAATTACTGCAAGTTTAAAAGCCTGTGGAACATAACCTGTTAATAGAGAGAGGTTAATCAGATCTAGTATGGATGTGTTGATTAGGGGAAAGACGTCTTTGAGCAGCCTGGTCGGGATGGGGTCCAGGAGACATGTTGATGATTTAGATGAAGCAATTGTTGAGGTCAACTCAGAGAGATCTATAGGGGAGAAGTAGTCCAAGTATAAATGAGGTCTTACAGATGTTTCTAAAGCCATTGTAGTTGTAATGAACCATTTATGTGAATACTGTGTGGAAGCTTCAACAAAGCCTCATCGGCCATCACTAGCCAGAGAGGCAAGGGTGGATCCAGGCAGGCAGATAATAGATTTGCTGACGAGAATCAGGCAGGTCCAGTGATAGGTGATGACTTGAATGTGCAGCACAACACTGGATGCTGATCACTGTAATTGGAGCAAAGAAACAAAGCAGTGTATGTAGGGCAGAGACAACTAGCAAAAGGTGAGAGGAATTAGCCAGGTGATCTCAATCAGTCACTGATTGGCAGAGGTGAAGTTGGTGAAAGCCCAGAAGTTCCCTTCAGATTAAGAGTCTCTAGCAGGAAGTTGGGGTGAAACATGACAGACTGACCTTAAAAGTAATAATGGACTGTGATTTCTCTTTACTTGGCTGACCGGTTCTTGTCATAATATGGTTTATACTAGTTAAAATTGTGTGTTATTTTCTACTTTGTAGATTAATAATGAAGACACTGAAACTATTAACTAACACATGCAGTTATGCAGTAAACAAAACACTGCAAACAAAGCAAAATATGATTTCAATTTCAGATTTTTCAAAGTAGGTATATTTTGCTTTGATAACAGCTCTGCACATTAATGGCAAGGAGAACAACATGGAGCCAGAGGTCTTGATTCATTGAGCACTTTCAGAAGTGGTCATAAAAGGCATAACTGTGATAACATACCTCCTTTGGGATGTTATTAAAGCTGCACCACCACTCCCAGTTTCAAAAAGTTGTCCACACCATTAAGAGTCTTTTTTCTTTTGTTTGTTTTTAAACAGGTTGCATACAGCATGCAGTTAACTAACACTTAATACAATTATTCATCCCTTTTCTATTGAATGATTTTCTCTCCATTTGAATAAACTTCTGTTTTGACTTGCTATTTCTACGTGGACCATTTGAGCAGTGCTGAATCCTGACCTTTGACCTCAATCATTGTGAATGCTTGAAAATTTTGGTGATCAAAACAATGATGCTAATATTTTTGTTATGCTAAAGTGTCTCCTAAACTCTTAAACTGTGTATGCATAAAAAAAAAACCCTACATGATTTGCTATGAGCCAGTGCCATCTGCTGGTAGCACACACACACACACACACACACAGACCTGTCTCAGTAATGGTTGAGCACAGTTAAGTTTTTTAAATGGTCAAATAACAGGTTCAGGTACAATATCTTGTAAGATCATGTAAGATACGTAAGTCCACTTCCTATTGAAGCCATATTCACTCCAAATTGGTTGTGTGATCATTTTTAAAGTTGTAATAGTAAACATTTGTGTTAAAGCAACTCCAATAACTAAATATTGTCTGTTTTACACTGTATAATTGTATATTGAGCATTTTTGGACCAAAGACCACATCTGAAAATGTTACTATTAGCTTTGAAAACTGGGCATTTTTCACAAATTTCTGGCATTTGATAGACAAAAAAAATTATTTAAAACTGACAGATTAATTGATCAGTACTGGAACCTTTCTTTAGGGAACCTCAGCATTGGTAATGAGTGAGAGTCAAGTGTGGCTTAGTACTTGGCCCCAGGATTTATGCTTGTAGTCACACACCCACAAATGTTGGTGAGCAGAGCAAGAAACAAGTCAAAAGGCCCACATTTTCTCTAATGTGCAAGCTTTTCCAAATAGGGACAATAATATAGTTTTTCACTGTTCACTACTTTGTCACTAATTTGTCCTTTGTCATGTCACAATAAAAAAGAAAACATCTAAGTCCTTAGAAGGATTTAGTGCTTTGCTCAGAATCTTTGCAGGTTTAAGACTTTCACTGAAATTTTAGGAGGAAAAAAAAATCTAAACTTGTATGGATCCTTGGAACACATTTACATTGAAATCACTTCAGTAGAAGTTCCCACAAACAGCCACTATGGACACTTGTCTATTGTTGCACTGTTGAATAGTCAGTAAGACTCCAACATACCAAAGGAATGCTGACTTTTTAAAGATTTTTAATAAAAATTCAAGAATTAATATCAGTGAGTTGTCAGATGCTGGCGAGACACAGCGAAGCGTTGGTGCCCCCAAATCCAAATGAGTTTGTGAGGGCAACCCGTCGGCCCTGAGTCCGCCATGGCTGCGCTGTGCAGGGAACATAATTCAGGTCAAACTGTGGCTCAGTGCAGTCCAGGTTGAGAGTTGGGGGCAGGACCCCATGGTAGCATGCCAGAGCGGTGAATGCTGCCTCCATGGCCCCTGCAGCCCCAAGGAGATGTCCTGTGGCTCCCTTAGTGGAGGAGACAGCCAGGCTGTCAGTGCTTTGTTGAAAGAGCCTTTTGATGGCTACATTTTCAGCTGCATCACCCAATGGTGTGGATGTGGCATGGGCATTTACATATGTGACATCTGCCGGTAAGAGGCCAGCATCTCTGAGGGCTGCAGACATACACCTGTGGAGACAGAGGTCAGACAGTTAAAAGACAATTCTGGTCTGTTACAACTTTGGATTTACTTTCATTGCTTTTTTGACTATTATATCTATATATAATAATAACACAGTATTTATTACTGTATTTATGTTATTGTATTTACATATACAATAACTGTCGCTTTATTCCCAAATCTCTGCTTTTATTAAGGTTGTGAAATTCCTACATTAAAACCTGACAGAGTAAAAAAGGGGTAGTCAGCCAATCAGACATGAGGTAACTAAGCCATCAGTGTAACCATATTATGTGGATGTGAAAATAAAATCTTGATAATATTCATCACTGCAAAAGAAAAGCAGTTGTCCAGTCAACTGCAAAACATCAAAACTGAACAGGAAGTCAGTCTGTAATCCGTGACGGGCAGCTTGGATAATAATTTTACCATGTGCCTTCTATTTTTCTTTTCTTTTCCAAAAACAGTTTTACTAATGTGAAAATTTGTTTTCAAAATGTCTGCTTGTTGGTCCTGAATCAGTGGACCTCTTGTGGAGGAGCTGTCCCCAGGTTAGCAAATACTGCTTTAATAAGTGACAGCAGTTTTGTGTAATACTTAGTGGATCATTTGTTATTATTGCATAGGTAAATATTAAATTGAGTAAAAATATTGAATAGAAGCACATAAGAAAAAAAAACAAATAAACAAACATAATTATGTATTTCTGAAAACTGTATGAATTACCTGAATGCCCCATCTCCGTCTGCAGTGGGTGCAGTGATGTGGCTGGCGTCCCCTGAGAGTCCATAACCCAGGACCTCTGCATAGATTCTGGCTCCTCTCTTCAAAGCATGGTCCAGCTCCTCCAGCAGGAGCACAGCAGCTCCTTCACCCATCACAAAGCCCTCTCTCTCTGGGTGAAAGGGTCTTGATGCGAGTACAGGGGCTTCATTCCATTTGGTGGCGAGGGCGCGTGCCCTTGCAAAACCAGCTATCGACAGGGGCCCAACACAGGATTCTGTCCCCCCTGCAACCATAGCAACTGCATCACCATGGGCAATGAACCTGGTGGCATCACCTACTGCATGTGCACCTGTAGTGCATGCCGTGGACACAGCATGGTTGGGACCCTTTAATTTGTGCTTGATACTTATGTGCCCAGCTGCCATGTTCACTAGGATGCGGGGCACAAAGAAGGGACTCACTTTGTTGTAGCCCTTTTCCTGGAAGGCAGCGGAGGTGCGAGCAATCTCATCAAGTGACACCATGCCCATTCCAACAGCCACCCCTGTATTGTACTGTTCCTCTGGGGTTCTGGGGTACCACCCTGAGTCCTCCAGAGCAAGCTGAGCAGCTCCCAAGGCCATCACAGTTGCCGGTGACATGCTGTTGATCTCCCCACGAGAGACAAAACTCTCCTCCATAAACTGGCCCTCTTCAGTCCCTCTGGGCACCATAGCGGCTACCTTACAGGGCACAGTTTTGTACTCCTCTGAGTCAAGAGCAACAATCCCACTGTGGCCTTGGATCAGGCGCTCCCAGGGCAGAACAGTCCCTGTACCCAGAGGACACACCAGCCCTATGCCAGTAATAACAACTCTCCGTTTCTGCTGTCCAGAGCTGCGACGCCTAATGTCTTGGTTTGGACAAACACAGGCACTGTTTTGTAAAAGTGCCCTTATGTTCTGTGGTCTCAGCTGAAGTTTAGTCCAACCTGATAGCGATAAAGCAGACATGCTGTTATCTTTGTCGAGTTCGATAGCTAGTTGTAGCTTTGCTTAATGCCTTCTCAGTGTCAGGGGGAAAACAATTAAAGAAAGCTAAAATATCCTCTGGACCCAGACGAACATAAGCTTGTCCCTTACTCGACAGAGAATTAATTATAAGTTAACTAGTAGTGAAAATACAATATGGATGTAAACAATTATCCGTACAATGACGCAACGAGTCCATCCTTAAATTTGCCTGTGACTTTGTGTCAATGCCATCTCATTCAGCTTGTATATATTAAATTTTATGTGTAATATCTAATTAGATGAAAAGAGACAAGAGTACTTACGTTAATTATAATTAAACACAATTTGTGTATTACAATCGTTTTCAAACCTGCGAACACTCATTCAGGCATTGATAGGGCAGCTTCTATCAGGACCCAACACGTCTAGTTAGCCTTCAATTTCATTATTAGCATTAACTCTAATGCTCAAAACTGCACAGACGTTTTAGTTTGTAAGAGAATTACCAGTATGAGTATGTCCCCAGCAGTTACAACACTGTGTGAAAATTCAAACGAGGTCTTTCTAGACGTGGCCAAGTTGTTACTTACATACGCGGACAATATTTTACGGTAAGGTTTTGAACTTAGCAACGCAGTACACCAGCGGCGTAGAGTTATGTTAAGAGGATGTTATATTAATAAATATTGTGTATATTACAAAGTAATACAACCGTAACTAAAGCCATGCTGTGGCAGTAAGTCTACTGTCTGTACCTGTTTACAGAAAGCGTCAAACCAAACTCTGTTCAAATAAAACGGGCTTTGTTATTTGTTCTTAACCAACTTCTATTTGGATCATCCTGACATAACATAGGCCTAAATACCAATTGTCAGGTTGTTCTGGTTACATCGACATACAAGTGCGCCACCGGGAAGCATTTCTAAAATGTTAAAATCTCAATATTCAACTCTCAAAGCTTGTGACATTGCCTCTATAATACTCAGTTTACTGAATAAATGTGCCATGTTACAGTTGTCACATGAGCAGAGTCAACACATAGAAAACACGTGTTCAAAGTTAGAGCACGTACCATAAAAGTAGACTCTTATTGACAACGGTGTATATTATTTCAGCTATTGACACTAATTTGTAATCTGTGTGTATACAAATAACATACTGTAACTCTCTGGTCTGTAAATGTATTTTGTGTCTTGCACTGTAGATAGGAACAAAAAGTATTTTCTGAAATTCCCTGAGAATAGCCTACTACTTCCTCATTTGATGTCACCTTCCAACAGGTATCCCAATGAGGAAAAGTACAGGTCGATCCGCATAGGAAATCCTACTTTCTCCACAAAGCTGCTGCCCATCAAAGGAGCTGTGGAATGTCTCTTTGAGATGGGATTTGAGGAGGTAATTAATAAGAAACTACCAGGTGTCCACAGTAATAGTTTAAAGGCAGTATTTCTGTTGTTCTGTCTGTTGTTCTAGGGTCTGTTTGATTATTTGTGGTCTAGCAGTGAGTAAGTAAGAATTCCACTTGCATCTCTTCTCAGGCGGAGACCCACTTGGTATTTCCTAAGTCTGCATCAGTGGAAAAGCTGAAGCTCATCCGGGAATCCATAGCAGCAGAGAGGGATCAGAGGCTCCGTGTAGGACAGCCTGTCCAGCCATCCACTCTGGTTGCACCCTCAGCTTCAGCACCAGAAAGCTCTGCTGCTACATCCTGCCAGCCAGTTTCACCACCTCCACCAGAGTCATCATCCTTGGTAAGGATGTCTGCATCTCTGGTTTAAATAGCTTAAGCTGTGAACAAACCTATCTCTAGCATTCAGATGTGGTGTCATTGTAGTATGGTCAGGCTAAACACACCTTAACTCCCTTTGATTACTTTTGGTTAGTGTTGTCACGATACTGGAATTTCTAACTTCAATACGATACCTTGAAAAATATTGATACTCGGTACCATTTTCGATACCGCGGAGAAAAAAACTGCCACAATATTAAGGGGGTAATTTTTTTTTTAAATTCAAAGATAAATATAACAAGTCTAGAACATGACACTGAGGTATATTTTACATGAACAAAAATGTCTTGAGGTAGTGTTCAAAAGCCTCTCAGATTGCCATACATTCAAAAACCAATAAAGTGCAAGTAAAAAAAAAAAGTGCAATCTTTTGTATTTCCAGGTAAAATCAAATCCAAACACAGCATCACCAAACGATACTTAAACTTCAAGCAAAAACAAAATCAGTGCAATCTTATGCATCAAGTAACAAATTAGTAAACACAATAAATAAAATCAGTTACTGCAATTATATGCAGATTTTCTCTACAGTGAGTAGAGTGAGATTGACACCCATTACTATATCCTAAAGTTGTTTTGCAACTTTCAGATTTTGAGCTAGGAAAACCAGCATGTCAATGTGTTCCTCCGTAAGTCGTGCCCTTCTTGCACTGCAAATGAGCCCTGATGTACTAAATACACGCTCTGAAGCTGAACTTGAAGCAGAGAGGCACAGATACTTCTTAGCAAACTGGGCAAGGTGAGGTAAAGTTGTCTCATGTGTCCTCCACCATGTAAGTGGGTCCTCTTCTGCACTGATTTCAGGCATCTTTTCATATACTGAGAACTCATTTTTGAGTTCTGTTTCTGCACCCTCATCTTCTTCTCTGGAT